TGTAGATCACAAAATTTATGAAAGTTTATAGATTGATAACTTTTCATTTGAAATCATCTTGTCATAAGAAAACTATGTTTGAATTTCAAAAATTTGAAATTCAAATTTCATGAAATGACCTCGGATAGAGAAATGACCAAAATGAAAGTTGTTGATTTCAAAAAGTTACAAAACATTGTTGCTTGACAACATTTTCATTTAACATCATTTAGACCCTCAAACAATCAATTTATGCTCGATTTAGTATAATATATGGAACCAAATCCAATATAGACACTGAGTGAGTCCTGGCAGTACAGAGGAGGGAGTACGCCATGAGAGGAGGTCATGGTTCAAATCCCGTGATGAATCGCATTGATTTTCGTTAATACGGCAAAATGACGGCAACTTTTGCTATTTACAACTTTTTTATTTGAAATCATTCTTGACTTTAAATTGTTGTTTGAATTTTTTTGAAACATTGAAGAACTCTAATTTCTCTTTTTAATCCATGCTAAAACTTGTAACTAGTATTTCTTCCGTACTTACTTCAAATTGATGATTTTTTCTAAAATTTTCTAAAATCACGCTCTATCAATTTATTAGTGTTCTATAACTAATATTTTGTTCATCTTTTTCATGAGTGTGTTTAATCTATTTGAATTTTAAAAAAATGACAACTTCAAACGCTATTTGAAACATTAAATGATTTCAAGCTGAAAAGTCATAAACATAAAAGTTGTAGAACTCATCAAGATCTACAACTTTTGTTTTGATCTTCTCTTTATCGAAGTAGTGGTACTAACATTGTTCACAAAAATTTATATCTCTCTCTTATAGTTCCACTAAACTATAAGAGGGATATATAAATTGTCAATAATATTATTACCACTATGTCAGATAATAAATGATCAAATGACCAAAATAAAACTTATAGATCTCAAAAGTTATAAAAACTTTGTAGTTGACAACTTTTTCATTTGAAATCATCTTGTCAATGTTAACTCTGCTTTTGAATTTCTCAAATTTGAAATTTAAATTTTGTAAATGACCACGGATGGAGAAATAATGTAAAATAAAAAGTTGTAGATCTCAAAAGATATAAAACATTGTAGTTGATAACGCTTTGATTTGAAATCTTCTTGTCAAGGAAAACTATGTTTGAATTTCTAAAATTTAAAATTTGAATTTTTAACGACCTCGGATGGACAAACAGCAAGAAAACAAAAGTCATAGATCTCAAAAAGTTAGCTGAAACTTTGTAGTTGATAACATTTTCATTTGAAATCATCTTGTCATTTAAAACTACATTTGAATTTCTCAAATTTGAAATTCAAATTTCGTAAACGACCTCGGATGGAAAAACTACCAAATCGAAAGTTGTAGATCTCAAAAGTTACAAAACTTAGAAGTTGACAACTTTTTCATTTGACATCGTTTAGACCCTCAAACAATCAATTTATGCTCGATTTAGTATAATATATGGGAAGCAAAATTCAATAGACACAATTGAGTCTCGAGGTGCAGTGGTAGAGGAGGGTACGCGTGAGGGGGAGGTCGGGTTCAATCTCCACAGCCCCGGCTTGCCAAAAAATGCCACGACTTTTGTTGTTTACAACTTTTTCTTTGTGAAATCATTTAACGCTTCAAAAAATGTGCTTTTGAAATTCAATTTTGAAACTGTTGAAGAACTCTGATTTCTCTTTAATCAGTGGCTAAAACTTGTAATTAGTGTTGCTCCTCATACTAACTTCAAATTTAATGATTTTTTAAAAATTTCTAAAATCATGCTCTATCAATTTTTTATGTTCTTATAGCTATTATTTTGTCCACCTTTTCATGTGACCGTGTTTTATCTATTTAAATTTTGAATTTAAAAAATGACAACTTCAAGCTTCATTTTGAAACATTAAATGATTTCAAGTTGAAAAAGTCATGAACATAAAAAGTGTAGAACTCATCAAGATCTTTAACTATTATTTTGGTTATTTATTCATCCAAACAAAGTGGTAGTAACATTGTGATACAAGTGAGTGTGAGGCTACAAGTGGTGAGAGGAGGGTACGCTGTGGGGAGGTTGTAGGTTTGGATCCTCGTAGCTTCGCTAAGCGCATTTTCATGCGAAAAAATATCGTGACTTTTCAAAAAAATTGCTATTTTATGGTCCGATTTCGTGAATTTTCAGCCCCTATAATCATCAATTGCCCCTAAAAAATGATTTGTAGGGCGTGGTTGGTGATCCCTACAAATCATCGATTGATAGCCACCCTTCAGTAAGGGGCAATGGCAAAACTACCCCCTACTAAAAGAAAGTCACCAGCCGCCTTACAAAAGCTTTGTGTAGTGTCTTGTGTTGAGGGAGAGGGAGTGGCAGCTGTGAAGTACTATGGGTGAGGGAGAGAGTGGGGGTAGGGTTTGCAACAAGTTATATACTTGAGACTAGTTTGCACGTTGGTCTGTGGTCTTGAACACGGCGGTGAAAATAAGGCTAGTTTTCACCCCGGTTCATGACATACAAATTGGCTATGAAATTTATTTTGACACGGTTCCATTCTAGAACCCGGCGGTGATATATTTTCATGGGCAGTTGTAATAGAACCAACGGTGAAAATAGTATTGCGCGGATACCATTTCATTAATTAGTAGTAACATGTAGTAATATATATTTTTAAATGTTTTCTTACATTACACAAAATGACAATAGTTGCTAGTCAATTTTCGTTAGTGCTAATGCACTACCATTAACACACAGTGTTACTAATACCTATGGGGTCGCAACTGTTTAGATGGTCATGAGTTTAGGATTTCTAAACTTTTACTATATATCTTTTGCTTGTAAAAGGCTTCAGTATTTAATGTTTAATCCAACACACATATGGATGTTGGAGAACCCACCAAGCCCAAACCCACAAGTTACATAGGTCCTGGTTGATATATATGGCTCTGCTCCAGCTCCTGACTCCCACAGAGGAGCACCTAGGGGAGGACTCATGCCAAACAATCAGATAATATCTGTAAATTCCATGCTCCACTATCTCATCAGAATGTGCAATATATATTATGGACTATAAAAAGCCAATCAGGACTAAACAAAGGTGTTTAATGATGGGACTGTAGACTTTTCTCTTGTTAATTTATTTTGTCCTAAATTTTTAGAAGACCTAATACTCGGTGACAAAAGGAGTAGTATAACTTTTTAAATACCTTTTTCTAATTGAGTTAGAAACATTGAAATAACATATGTAACTTTTTATCCTTTTCTGTACCAGCACCCTCATAATATTATGGTTTTACTAGATCCTGTAAACATATTAAAATAAAATTAATGATTTAAATTTGTATTTTGAAAATGACTAAAAGATGGAAATTTGCATGATGTTGTTCGCTCATTCGCTCAGTATTTGCCGGATCAACAGTACACGGACAATGCAGTTTGCAATATGCATGATGTTGTTCGCTCATTCGCTCAGTATTTGGTTAGAGATGAAGCACTAATAACACACAAAAGTGTAGCTGGCCTTGCCATTAATATTAATCAAGAAAAAATTATCCAGTTATCACTAAAAACCAAAGAATCAGAGTCAGATAAGCTAGCATGGAGTTCTCTACAAGCACATATATCATTACGAACACTGGTTTTAGTTGGAGAAATAAACATCAACTCAGGTGATTCACTGTCATCTTTTCCATGTTTATGGACCCTACATATAGAAGACAGATGGAAATTTTATGCATTGTCTAAATCTTTGGTCCAACTGAAACACTTGAGATATTTGTGCCTAGATGGCCCTAACACATCTAGGCTGCCAGAAAAAAATAGCAAGATGAAATTATTGCGGTGCATTGACCTTTGTAATTGTAAAAAGAATGGTGAAGCTTCCTGGTGGCATTGGAAAGTTACGGCAGCTGAGGTATCTAAGCCTTCTTAACTCCGGTATAAATAATATACCCAGGGGTTTCAGTGGCCTAACTAATTTAAGGGTATTGAAGGGGTTTCCTGCCCACGTGGAGGGTGATTGGTGTAGTTTGGAAGAATTAGGACCTCTTAACCGGCTCACGAGTCTTGATATTCGTGGCCTGGAGAATGTATCTTATTCCACATTTGCTATAAAGGTTAAGCTTGGTGAAAAGGTGCACCTCATTTATCTGTGCTTACAGTGCACTAGTGGACGTGGAGGTTCTCACCGATTGATAAAAGAGGAAGAGCAGCAACAAATCGAGAAGGTGTTTGACGAGATCTGCCTCCACCTTGCTTAGAAAATCCAAGGATAAAAGGTACTTTGGTCAACGACTTCCAAAGTCGATGATGTCGACATCAATTGTGCCCTTTGATGCTTGAGGATTCTAACGATGGAAGACTTGCCTTATTGCATGGAGCTACCTGACAGCTTGTGCCAGCTCCCCAGCTTGGAGTTCCTACAGATTAATAAAGCCCAGGCATCAAGCATGTTGGCTGAGAGTTCTTACAACCACACCATCATGAGCACCAAAGCGTTGTGGAAAACTTTGGTTCTAATTTGAAAATTACTGTGTCTATGTGTCCTAGCCTCGAGAGGATCAGCAATCTGCCAAATTTCCATAACCTCGTGATCATAGAGTGCCCAGAGTTAAAGGTACTAGAGGGTTTGCCTGCACTTCAGAGACTCGATCTGGAGGATTACGACATGAAAACACTCCCCAGATACCTGAAGGACGCAAACCCAAGGCTTTTTTGATCTAGACTGCAACGCCTCGCTGCTCGCTTCCATAGCAAAAGGGGAATCTAGCTCTGAGTGGAACAAGTTCAGTCATATCAAGCAGGTCAATGCACATGCAGATGATAAGGAAAACAACATTGAAAGGAAGTGGTACGTGAAGTACACGAGAGATCCTTTGAGCTTGAAGACAAACATCAGCCCTCTACTAACGCTTCATCTGGTAAGTTAATACACCTGCTGCTTACGTTGCATACTGAGTACCTTTCTTGCTATTGGAATATCTCGTCACTTGACTGGATGTGCCATTTCAGGGGATGAAACAGAGAAGTGTTGTTGGACGAAGTGGAGGAAACTTCGAAGGATGAAATCCAAGAAGAACGTGTCGTCTGACACTGCTGGTCGACAATGCATGCAGGAGTGCCCGTCGGTGACCTACAAGGACAGAAGGATCCTTGGAGCTGCCATCGCTTTGACTGAAGAAGCAGCAAATGCATAGTTTGTGGTGTGTGAATTTATTCCATTTTCTTTAGCCAGCCGGTTGTTCTGAGGCGGTCAGATATTTGACATCGCAAATAACAGGAGACTAGAATGTGATGCGAATTTGTTCGGTTTTTTTCAGTGATTTGCAGCTGTGTTACTGTTGAATGTTGATGCAGTTTGCCACTTGAGAATTGAGAGGCATGTATATATACAATAAGTTGAGTCGTTACATAACAAACATTATGATACAGCTTATTTCATCTTGCTAGCTGGTTTATGGTGTGTCTGGAAATGCAGCTTGCAAGTGAATGTACATAACAAGCCTCACATCAATTTCTCGTTTGTTTATACTCCAAATGGTGCGATTGCTTCTATCAAGGCAAGTCAGATATTTATTTCTTCACAAATTGTAGCTTGCACGCGACAACTTCTTGAGAGTTTTCAGATATCATGCATGCTCGGTGCTTGCCACAACGTTACAGTTATGCATGCCTGGTACATTTTCATGTGTTTCAGTACAGAACGTGACACTACAACATGACCCACTTTTCGCTACATTTATGTGTTGGTAAATCATAGTTGTTAACTACACATTATCTGTTGGCAATTGTATAACTTTTTAGTGTCAAATAAACTGTCGCCAAAAGTACTGTAAGGCTACACATTCTGTGTCAGCATTGCTCCTTTTGACGGAAAACTGTCGACAAAGTTACTAGACAAAACAAGTGTCGGCGTAGCCCTACAGAAGCCACTGTTTAAGTGTCATCGAAAGGGTACCCTCAAGCACCAAAAATACAACCGTGCACGCACAGGACATAGAAACTCTCCCAATGTTTACACACACACCACACAGCCGTGAAAAAGAGAAAGAAAAACGCCCAGAGCGCAACAGCACCTGCACCGATGCCAGCTGGCCCCTGCCTCTTATACGCCAGCATGGCGCGCCACCTGTACAATGTACATTCATAGGTCTGGCCTAAGTATTGTTGTCAAAAACTCCAACTGTCCACTTGCTGCTTACCTCTATGGTGGTGTCCTGCTTGAAATATCATAGTTGATACAAACATACAAGACATGCGCAGACATTTTATCTGGCCTGTTTGCTACTTAGTGCTCATTCTTCACTGTGTCCTTTGCATTGTTTGTACCTTCTCATGCTACATATATATGCTAGCTAGCCCGTGCAGGTGCACGGGGGTTCCTGCTAGTTAAGGTCAGTTTGAGTAATCCTTGTGCTCTGTTGTACTTGCTATGGCAAGGGCCTTCTCAACACTGCAATAATTATTTGTACACCTACTATGGAAAATTATCTAGAAAAGAGTTTGTGTTGGGATACGGTTATGAGTCGCGGAGGCTGGAGACCGAAGCCGTAGTTAAAGCTAACGATTAACAAACTTTATGGACGATGCAAGAAGACGAGAAGGCAGCTGACCTTCGCTTGGTTAGCCGTTCGGGGCGAAGGTCCCAAGACCAAGGCGAAGGCACCCAAATGGCAGTCTAGGGCGGAGGCTCCAGCAACCGAAACAAAGGCGCCCGGGAGTAGCCAATGGTGGAGGCTCCGGCGGCGCCTACGGAGGCTACAGGGAGTCGGTGCGCAAGTACAAGCGAAGGTCGCCCCGGGCGAAGGCTCCGAAAGTCTAGGGACTCCTTGAAGGGTGGCGGTGCCGGGCCATGGGCCGCTGACGGGCTCACGGTCATGGCCCATCAAGCAAAGGCGATTGAAGAAGAAGGCACCCGAAATTACCCTTAGTAGTCTATATTAGCATAGGAATATTCCAAGGATGAACTGTAACTGACAAGGGGTTGCATTGTGAAAAGTAGCCTTACTAAGTGGTGCCCTATAAAAGTGGAACACAAACACTATATAGGGGGAGTTAGTTGAGTGCATTTATGAAACCCTAAATTGGCCTGGCCCCACTTTCCACCTAGCACCCCTTTGCCCGAGACATTCGACAGGTGAAGGCCATCGGCTAGCTTTTCATAGTCCCACCTGTTGAAACCCCGTTTTCCAACATTGGCGTCCACCTCATGTTGTCCAAGCAAGACCCTCGATGGCAAGAAAGAGAGCAGCCTCCATCAGGGTTCCCACAGAACCCTCGACAAGAGGATGACCCAGACGTAGTGCCCGCAGCACCTACGCTACAACCATAGAAGATCAAGTTGAGGAAGAGCCCACGGTCAAAGACCAGCCTCAGCATCAGAGAGCAAGCAAGCCCCAAGTCCCACTCTAGAGCAAGAGCTTCAATGACTCATGCCCGAGCCAGAGAGCATGCAACAAGAAAGAGATAGGGTCATAGTAGCCTTCGCATCAAATCAACAGGCAGCTCAAGCATCAGCTCAGCAAATAAGATCAGAAGCGATTAGCCATCTTACAGGACAAAATACAAAGTATGCAGCCTTCACAATCTAACTTTAACACGGACAACCAACTTAACTCAAGCAAATCAAAGCCAACCCAATCCACCGCCACATTCCATAGCACAACCAACCTTGGCACACTCCACACTTCGCCCACAACCCCACAAAACCATTGATTCCAAATCACCACCTGTCAAGGCATCCAAAGCTCACTGGCCTCCCTCCTACAAACCCATCACCTTACCTAAATTCAATGGAAGGTCAGGACCCACGACAATTCATCATGAGTTTTGAGGCAGCAGAGCCTCACCGGCGGAAACGAAGCGGTGCTAGCCAAGTCCTTCGTCATCGCAGCTGAAGGCGATGCGCTAGCCTGGTACTCAATGCTAAGGCCAAGCTCTATCTATTCATGGGAAGACCTCCACAACAAGATCTTAGCAAATTTCAAGGGGTTTGCAAGTGAATCCTTGACTTCCATGGACCTGTTTCAATGCAAGCAAAATCAAGGAGAAGCCTAAAGGACTACTTTCTAGAAATTCATGCAAATGAAAGCAAAAGCACCCAATGTCCCAGAAGACATTGCTATCGAAACAGCAATCAAAGGCCTTCGCATAGGCCCATTTGCAGCTCACCTAGCAAGGGAAAAGTCTCGAACTATCAAAGATCTCTTTAATGAATTCGAGAAGTATTGCAGATCGATAACGACCTCCAGAGAAGACTAGAGAATAAAACCAAGGCAAGCGGTTCGAGGCAACAGAAACACCCAAAAGGGCAACAAAAACAAAGGATGACCCAGAAGCTCGCAGAAGCATAAAACCAACAAGTTTTCAATATAGAACAACAAGATAATAGCTAGCGGGGGCAACAATCGGTGAAGACAGCCCAAACAATGCGCCCGAGAGATAATCCCAAGGCATGGGAAATAGCCAAGGAGGAACTAGAACAAAACCAAAACCAAAGGCAAACAAGGCGTGATTGTTTCTTTCATGGAGAAAACAAAGGTCACATAACTAGGGACTACCCAGACGCCCAAAGAGACCTAGGAAAGGATCAAAAGTGGACCAAATCTGCCACCTCCACCACAACAACCCCTAGAGAGGTGAACCATACCATCATGAAGACCAAAGAAAGAATATCTGCCTAATATACCAAAGCCTAAACTCCACCCAAATTCACTCAGTCCACTTTAGCCATTTGCCACAACCCAAACTTCCTACCAAGATGGAGACCAAGTACTCAAAGAATAGGGTCGACTAACAATCAACGGGCGGAGGCCAACCTCACTTACATAAACCCAAGGCCTCCGCACATAACATTCATCGAGACCAACTAGCCATCCCAAATACACAATAGACAGCTAGAGGCGTTGCCTCTGCCTCCACCAACACAGCTCGCAACACCCAAAAATGAACCTAACCTAGAAAACCAACTCAACCCTCACACACCCCTACCAACCATCAGCATGATACTGCCTATAGCCGGAGGCTCCTCCATGGAGTTCTAGACTAAGAAGCAGGAGAAGGATCACCTTAGGTTGGTCAACAACATAGCAGTTTAAGGCCTAGTGCGCTACACAGATTGGTCGAAGACCCCAATCACCTTTTCAGAGCAAAATTGCAGCTAGTGAGGTACCCTCATACTGATGCCATGGTAATCATGGCCAACATTGCAGGATGGCAAAATCAATAGGGTTCTCATGGATTCCGGAAGCTCTGCAAATAT